TTATAGAATAAAAACAAATCTATATATATATAATTGCTGGCATGTAGCATTTAATAAAACCTATTTAATAAAACCTCTAAAATTTTTCCTCCATTTTCGGTTACAAAATTTGTCATTAATATATTTTACTTCTCACATTAATAAATCTTAATGAGTGTAATCATGTATGTTTCTATTATATTATATAATAGTTATTGCTAATACCAACTAATAATAATTCACAATAAATATAAATTACATAATTATAAACAATTATTTCAAGTTATGTATTTTATCATCAATATTATCTTTTTCTTTTGTATCTCATAAAAAAATTTCTTTAAAAATAATTAGTAAATTGTTTTAATAGCATAGTTAAACAACTTTAGAATCATATAAATAATTGTTTTTTTAATAATATATACATATATATAATTGCTAGCTTAGCATTTAATTTTACTTATTTAATAAAACCTCTAATATTTTTCCTCTATTTTTAGTTTCAAAATTTATCATTAATATTTCTTTACTTCTCACATTAACACATCCTATTAAGTGTAATCATGTATTTTTTCTATTATATAATATAATAGTTATTGCTAATACCAACTAATAATAGTTCACAATAAATATAAATTACATTATTATAAACAATTGTTTCAAGTTATTTATATTAACATCAATATTATCTTTTTCTTTTGTATCTCATGAAAAAATTTCTTTAAAAACAATTAGTAAATTGTTTTAATAGCATAGTCAAACAACTTTAGAAGCTTATAAACAATTATTTTTTTAATAATAATAATAATAATCAAACTGTTATTATCTAATGGTAATAAACAATTATTCATAATAATAAAATTGTTAACTTATTTTTCCTAATGATCAAATTTGTGTAAATGTAATATGTTCAATATCTAAAATTTTAATATTAAATTATCAAATATTACTTACTAATATTTTATGTACATCTGTGCACAACACCTGTGCACATGCACAGGATATCTACTAGTAATTATAACTAGACATCAGTCAAATTAAGCTTAGCAGCCATCGAGCCGAATCTCGCGAGAGGACTACAAACAGAAGTGCATTCTAGAAATAGTCACACTAACGCACCCACTATACAACTAACTAAACATTCCCATAAGAAGAATGAAAAATTCGCCCCAATTGGGCGAATGAACAATATTCATCTTTTTTTTTTTCTTCCTCTTTAGGAGCGTGTATTCTCTTGCATGGTAGTGCATATTTTTCACTTGTAGAAGTATTTTTGTCAATTGGGTTGTTCCCTTTGTGTTGAGTGTTGAGTTGTTGTAGTTATGTTACCTTGGGTAGACTTCTAATCTGAATTCAACTGTGTGGCTGGTTTTGGCTAGTTGCTTGTAAATATATGTTTTTAAAAACTGCAACACCCCGCTTATCACTTATCAGAGTAAATTTTTTGCAACTTTTGACTCGAAAATGCTTATAAATTTTTCCAAATCATTTGCACTTAACTCGGGATGTTGCTAAAACTTATATGCTTTAAAAATCCGTTTTCTTAAAACTTGGTCTGGTTTAGGCATAAGAAAGACAGATTTTACATATCGAACAAGCATGTAAAACTGGACTCGTTCATACTGGTGAACTGGGTAAATTATTAAAGTCTAAAATACTGTCATGCACGTTCGAATCTGAAAAACATAGCGAAAGTCTTAAAAGCGCAGCATAATTATACAGACAAAAATTTTATTAAAAGTCCACAAATGTCAACTAGGCCAAGTCCACGACCAACACCACCACATCTGCTCTCACACCTCCCTGCCGACCCTGTCATCCGAAAAAGATAATAATAGGGCGTGAGCACTAAATCACTATGCTCCGTTAAAACTCAGACTAAACTAAACAACAATAATAATATCAATTTCATATCGCAAGTATATATAAGAAAACTGTAATCTCCCGGGCACTCTGGCCGGTAACTCCCGGACACTCTGGCCGATAACTGAAACTGAATCTCCAGGACACTCTTGCCGGTAATCGTGTGCACACTCTTATGGCATATTAAGGCAACTGGCCTCCACCAGAACTTAGGATGGCATATTAAGGCAACTGACCTCCACCCTAAGCGTATAACTCATATACATACATTTGACATGATAACAATTATTATACTCCATGTAATACTCAGTCTGGGTCCCCACATGTTCTACTTTGAAAAATATGTAAGTGTTGTGCTGGGTAGCTGGCTCCTCAAGCTATATAAAAATATAAACAAACAAATACTAAGTATTATGCTCGTAATATGCTCAAAAAGATGCTAGGATGCTTGATTCTATCAGATAACTGATCTGGATATAAAGGAACACTCTAAGGATTCGCTAAAATCATACTAAGTCCGGAATTAAACTGATATACTTAAACTGATATGATTTGGCTCGGAAAAATACTGAAATTTCGGAATAAAACTAGGACCGAAATACTCGAACCAAAACTTACTCGAACCAATGAATTCTATCGTTTTGAAAAAAATAAAAAAGTATAGTTGTCA